TGTTTCTGCCTCTCGAGACCACCTTACTAGGTTTCGCTGGCTCTTATAAAATTGTAATTCTTTGGGTTGCGTTATGGCCGCCGACATTTAAATTATTACTCCTGTGCGAAGTTTAGGCAACTTCGCGTTATATCAGTTTGTATAATCTTCGGTTGCTAAACATACTTTTGAAAATGATTGTTGCTTTAAGTTACGTTGCTACAAGTGGTGGTTTACCTTATCAAGCACGAGAAATGCGTTTTACGTTCATGTTCTGACTTTATAAAAAGGTTTGTTTAAAAACCTTTCCCAGACTTTCTTGTTATTCCAGACATAGCGATAATTCGCTTTACGTCTATTAGGAGCTTGATGCTAGTTTATGCTACCAAAGAAAACTAAACTCGTGTTTGTGTATGAAAGGTTGTTTATGAAAAGGAAAATATTAAATCATACATAATTTTCATAGATACGGGTGTTCATTTTATTAACTCATTTAAAATTTTAATAACTTAACTGAGAATTATATAACAAATATTATATACGCCTAATTTTACTAATATGTTAAGCATTCCATTTTTACTAAACGTTTTAGTACTAGCTAACTCATATTCACGTCTAACGGCATTTTTTTCTGCTCTGATTATTTTCTTTTTTTACCAGAATTTCATGCTCATCAATTTAAGTTTTAATCTGTCATGCAGGAAGTTATTTTATTATCATAAAATCATTTTTTAAATGAAAGATTTACTTTTCGAAATGATGTTTTTCAGTGCCGCCGCATAATATCTGCAACATTTGAGATAACTTTAAAATATTTAACATGCATAAATATAAATAAAAGGAAATATAATTATGAAGATACATAGAAAGGGAATAAAGCGAAATATTTTTTGAATATTTAATGCTTAGTATTTTTATAAAATAAGACTAACTAAAATGTTCTAGTTCGAATAATTAAACTGAATCATAATATTTCTGCGTATCATGTTCACGGGATATTCAAAGCTCAATACCGTAAAATAATTCGAAAGTATGAAACATCAGCTATTCATAAAATTATTTTTAAAAATACTTTAATTTAATTCAATTGAAAATTATTTTTCCCTTACTGATATCATATTTACTAAGCTTAAAAAATTGTATCTCTATATGCATCAAGTAATTTTTGAAGAATTCTTAACTTTATCTTAATTCTTAACAGTTTGCCTTTTACATGAAAAAAAAATTTCTGAAGCTTTCAAAATAATTACATAGTTAAACTATTATTAAATGAAAGTTTCAAATTTAAAAAGAACCAAATCAGTCCTAATGAGAATACAATTAAAATTTATGTAACGGAAATGGAAAAATGGAATATATAAAGTAGACTGAAGTATATATAGAAAAGGCAAAAGGTGGAAATTCAATGTCTTAATTTTACAAAATTAAAATAACATTTATGGTTGTTTCTAAGCATTGAAAAGAAAACTTAACATATAGATAAATTATACTGTACTTTAATCATGTATCCGACTGAATCCTTTCCCTTTTCTTTTACCACGAAAAACATTTTACTTGTTAAAATGAAGATTTTTAAAAAAAATCTTGTTTATTGTGATTATATATACAAAACACCATCTTGTCTAAAACATTTTAAATTTTTTTAATTATTTTTCTTCTATAAAAATTCCAGTTTTTGATACAAATCAGTAAAATTTATGCAATTTCAAAAACCTTATCGTTTTTTAAATATTTATTTTATTAAATTTATTCCTTTATGTGACTTTTCTCGAACGAGGTACTAGGCTGTTTGATATGATGATAACTAAGATAATCCATGAGAATATCGAACTATGCAGATTGCTAACTAAGATCAATGGAAATTATAATAAAATATTTTAATTAAAATATGCATGTTTATATCAATTTTAATAGATTAAAATTTAGATTCCCTCAAAATACCATTTCCCTAAAATTTGTATTTTGTGCCTTCAAATTCAATATTGAAAATAGTTGTGTGTGATTCTGTAAAAATTCATGAAATCCGTTTTGAGTTATAGTACTTGAAATCTATACGAAGTCTATGCGAAAATATATTTTCTTAAAAATCGATTTTAAATTGTAAGCTATTCTAAGTACATATATCTTAATTAAAATATTAGATCCTTTCATATGACACGGAATCCCTTTCTTATCATCTTAAAGCGATCACTTTCATCCTTTTTCTCTCCACTTTACGGAATTTAACTTTCAGATGTCACTTAGTATTTTTTTTCTGATAGACTTTGTCGTCAGTAAGGAATATTGCTTAGAGTGAGTAATGCATTCATTAATAAGAGTTCTGAATTTTTGTCTAATAAAAGGTCCATAAATCACACGTAGGATATTTAATACAGAAAAAATACCTTGAAACTGTTTATTAATATATGACCGAATATACACATTCACCCATGGTAAATGACTCAAATTGAATTAAATTTTTCTGCTTTCAGTTTCTTAGAAACAACCCTTAAATTCTCAATAGAATTTTGTATTTTACATTTTCAATGGTGTTTTGTCATATAACTTAAATTTAGATGTTTTATAAAATTAACTATGCTTTCTGGCACGCATTTAAAATGTCTTTCTAATTTTTCCTACGCATGTGATTGATATATCTTAATACTTGCTGTAAGATTTCTTTTCACATTCTGCATGCACGCACTGATTTATACCTGAATATATATTACAAAGAACTGTCTAAATAGCTCTATATTTTGCACATAAATTATTCGTTTGCATGGAATATTGTAAGTTTCGAATTTCTTAGTTAGTTTTAGAACAAATTTCTTAAATTTTTAACTTTGTAAAAAAGCATTTCATATCTTTCTGAATATCTGTAACTTCTCTTTATTTTGTAATACTATTTTCTCCATATACATCTTTCACTGTTAAATAAATAGTCTTTAGAATAAACGAAACACGTGATAAATGATCTGAAGGACGGATACTTACAACTGTTTTGACAGTTTTCATCAAGCATTAAATCTCTTAGAATTACCTTTCTATTTATCTTAGAACCAAAAAAAGACAGGTTTAAAAAGATCAAGTTTTACATAGTTTAATAGAAAACAAACCAAATAGATATTTTCACCAAAAATCTCCTTTTCTGAGAATTTTATACCCCATCTTGCCAAAAGAGCATTTTGTGTTGCTGTAAAGTTTTTGCATTGAAACAATCTAATATTACAAGTATTAGTAAATATTTCCTTTAATGCTTGTTTTAATGTAAAATAAAAATATAATTTATTCTATTATATTTTTTAGTTACTATAAATTTGCTTTAAGTATTAGGATGAGTATTTATACTAATTGAATGAGCATACGTATTGATTAACATATTAAATAATATTAATTTAAAATTTTATTTAATTTTATATTATAATTTTAAATCTTAAATCTGAGTAATATTTACTAATCTACATAAATATAATTTGCTAGAAAACAAGTTTGCAAATTTAGCATTTTTGACCTATTGAAAAATACTAAGTGTTTAGAATTCCATTGAACTAGAACTGGAGAAAGAGCACCAGATTGGTGCTTTCAGAATTGCTTCACCTCAGACTCTCTTTTTAAAACAAAGTTTTTTCCCCAAATCCTTACCAAAAATTCTCAGCGAGAATTAGTACGAGAATTTCAATATAAGTGAATATGTTGAATTAAGGATCTAATGAAAAATAAGTAAAAAAGTATTTTATTAATTCTATTGACCTCCGACCTTTTAATCCAGTTCTTAATTACTAGCAGATAAAGTTACATATATTTCTGTTCCAAAGATAATTATTTGCGCCTTTCTCAAAGGTGAACTGTTTGAACTATATTCGGAAAATCTTCATGTACTCTTAATTAGAATGGATAATTTTAAGACTGACTAGGTTTACTTTTTTAGTTTGTCAAGAAAGTTAGTCGTGAGATATACAAAAAGTGCCCAACAAATGCATGTTACTTAATCTAAAAACCTTAACTAAAAACACTACACACATTATTAAGTCATAACGCCGATAGATAGTGGGAGCTGTCCGCCAAACTCTGATGAATACCACTTTTATTTACTTTTTCTAGGTAGCATCAGATTTGCCGCACAGTTCACGCGTCATGTCTCGGCTTTTTGGCTTGTGGTCTTATAGAAATTCTATTTATAAGCATTTATCTGCTTTTGATAGTATGCCACTGAAAATGTATGTTCCAATTCAATATATACAGAAGCTTATATTAAATGCTTAATAAAACTGTTATTCGTCCAGAAACGTACATATACTCAGGTGAAAGAAATGTATTCAATATTTCTTCAAACTTGAATAACGTGCAAAACAGTGTATCTGTTTTCAATATGTCTTCAATATTGAAGACATATTGAAAACAGACACACTTTTATTACACACTGTGTCTAGACATTTTTCAGTTTCATTTTCATTATGTGCCTGCTCAGAACAACAACCTCAGAAGGGTAGTCTTGGTTTAGTCCTGTTTTTGCTTTTAAATAATCCTTAAACACGTGACGAACTTTTATTCTTGATATTCTGTGCTCACTTTTGCGCTAGAATTCAAAATCTTATGTTTTGCAAAACGAAAATCACATTTTGCATCAGGGGAAAGAAGTAAAACGTTGCAAATAGTAGCCGTAAGGGCAGTAGCTATCTCATTCCTGTCTAAATATCTTATAAGATATCCTTACTGCACTTAAGATATACTAAATTTGTAATAAAAGTAATATTTTGAAAACTTATATATAAATACTTATTTAAAGCAAAAAATTGCTGTAACAGAAAGATGCATTCATTTAATTATTTAAATTAAATTTCTGTTGATTATATTTTATAAAATATGCTCAAAATATGCTAAAAGAGATAAAATATGCTTTCTGACTCATTTAAAAATAAAATTGAATTAAATAATGCAACAATAATTGAAATAACAAATACTAACAAAACTAGGAAAGACTTGTAAAACAATTCGAATTTGCAATAACTTGGTTATAAGGAAACAAACATGAAAACACTTACTCGTGCTGAAAGAATCCACATGCATCGTCAAAACCCGCGCCATAGCATGAGAACACAAGAAGCTCGACTGAATGAAAATCCGAACTTCCCATCTCCGCGGTGAATCTCCTGACGTCATGAACTACGTGTTGCTCAGATCACGTGGGAGTACGGCAATTGATTTGGCGCAAAAGTGTGCAGAAACGCTTTAGGAGATGAATAGAAAACAATGGTCATGAACAGTTAGTTACACACGTATGAAATAGGAAAAGTGTTGATCAATAGCAAATATTTTGGCTTTTCCTCCTTTTAGCAAAATTTTATATGTATAATAATCTGAGTCTCAAATAGACCACAGGGGGTACTGAAAGACTGCTGCACTGCTTTAATGACACTCTAGCAGAGAAACTTGTTTTACAGTAAACATATTAGAAAACAAAAATAATAATGTAAAAAACTTGTATATTCCCTGGCATTAAAATTCTCTTCCTTTAAAATTGTATTTATATAATTTGGGGCAGGGGATTTCCAAAAAAACTTAATACTTCATAAAAAATTAGCAAATATTCGCATATTCGCAGTCTTTTTTTTTTTTTTTTTTTTTTTTTTTTTTTTTTTTGCATCTAGCGTACTAGATGAGAATTGAGACTTAGAATACATGAGTTCTATTATATTTTAAAGAAAATTTTGTTTAATTTTTATTTGATATCAAAACAATTTTACTTATTTAAAATGAAGCTTAAATTTACGTTTCTCGAAATTTTCTTACAATATTCATTCCACTTGTTTTCTCCTTCCTTTCCGCGTGCCTTCGTGTGTAACTGGAAGCATGCTGGAAAAGTATTACGGGGGTCCAGAATTTGAATCCCGGCGAAGGCATTGCACAATTTCACTTTTCTTGCATCAATAAAACCTAATGACTTTACAAGTGGTACCCGAACTAAAAGGTGGTGGACGATAATTCGCACCACCAGGATTTGGCAGTTGGGTCCCCTAATACCCAGTCACCCTTTAAAGGAAGGAGAATATAAGGTATTTTCTCCCTGCTTTCTCAATGTCCTCGAGGTATAAATGGAAGCTCGCTGGACGCGTATTCGAGATTTCCGGATTTCGAATCCCGGTGGCATATTTCACAAGTGCACATCTGTGTAGCCACCGAGGGAGTGGCTTCTAGGATGGACCAATGAGCATCCAGTAATATTTCTGTCGTGTCACATGACCTTTCGCACGCTTTAAAGTTTAGGCAAGATGATTGAAAATATTTTGCCACGCAATTTTCTGTACAAAATTCTGTACATCGTCTATTTCTTCTGAAAATTTTCATTCCGAAGCTAGATCAAATATAGCAATTCCTGAAGATTTCACTACCTGTTGAAGATTTAAATAAATACAAACATGTTGGATACTCCGCAAAAATTACATGCGAAATATACTAATAAGTGATAAATAGACGAAAGAAATATGTGATACACATCCGAGCCCAAATGCTATTGTACCAAACTATGCATAATGAGAAAATGACACAGTTATATATGTAAATAGAAGTCAGTACTTTTTATTTCAGTCCATATGAAAAAGATGTTCTATAATAATAGCCAATGCTGAATATTATTCAAATTGAGCTTCACTAATTTGCATTTAGTGTCTTAAATTTCAGATTTAATAACTGATCACTCTTAAATATACTGTCTACACAAGAAATATTCATTTAACAGAATGAATTTATTTATTCACAACGAATATACTCAATTTATTAACATATAACTTTTAATGTTAACAATGGATATAATCAGATCATACACAATATGTGTCCTGAATCTTACACTTTCAATATCAAATGAATGCAAGCACTGAAATAAGAAAACACTAGATTCATTGTAACCTTCCAGTCATCTCAGCTCAAAATAAAATTAAAAAAAAAAAATGCATGATTCTCTTAATCCACATTTTTTAGTAAATGCATAATATTCGAGGCTAATTGTAGTTGGAGTCATTTTCTCGATGTAAAGCGCGATATATGCCGTGAGCATCAATCCCATTATCAATACGTGGTAAAAATTGCGAAAGTGAAATGTCAGCGATTAATTAAACTCATAAAACGGAAGCACTGTAAGATTTTCTACTTTTACGTCATACATTTATAACTGCGAAAAAAATGCAAATTAAAGCGTAAACAACTTACGCTCACATGCACGAAGATAGCGTCACAAGATCAATAGAAGCTGATTGGTCCAATTTCGAAACCCCTCCCTCAGTGGCTACGCTGATGTGCACTTGTGAAATATGCATCCCGGTGAGGGTATTGCACATTTTCATGTTCCTGCATCAATAAAACATGATGAATCTATAGCCTAAGAAAAGATTGTGCATATATTCATTAACTTTACTTTGAATTAAATAATGTATACATGTACACACACACACACACACACACACATATATATATATATTATTGGTATTTTTTAATGTGTATACCAGTGCTCCGCGACCTTTTCTCACCTGCGACGCATAAAAATCTTCTGGATTTCGTGGCACACCAAAAGTTCCGAGTTTCAAGGAAGTGCCGAAAAAAATTCAAATGCTGACACACTTACAATCACACACACAACCACACAACAGTGAAATATATAAAAACATTTAAAATAAACATTATTAAGGAAAAAAATTGTCATTGTGTATTAAATACATGATAAAAAATTGCAAAATGTCAAATACATGTATTTGATTGCGGCACAACTATATCCTACTCATGGCACACCGGTTGCGGAGCACTGGTGTATACACTCATATGTAGTTATATCTATATATAGTATATATTGTAATGTATTTTGCAGTAATTTACAAAACAGACAATCTTCTTAGTAGAACAAAAATTTTATTTCTAGTTCCATGGGATATAGAAATTTATACAATTCTGAAGTGGCAAAATTTCATACTACTCCTAGCGGTAAACTTCAGAATTCTAATCTTTTAAACAATATCTCACGTTGCTGAGTAACGGTTTTAATACAAATATGCGTAGCCACTTTAACAATAATTATTTATTTATAAATAACAATATTACAACCTCTCCCCTCCAGATAACTTAAGATCGACACTCTACCACATAAAGGAATGCACCGCCATAATATTTGCTAAAGAACTTCAATGTATTTAGAGGCATACTAATTCCTATCATTTTCCTCATTTATATTTTTAAATTAAAGTACTTTTTTTTTTTTTTTTTTTTAGTCCAAAGGGATTTGAATCCCAAAGGACTATTAGTTTTTTTCGTTTTGGCATTTTGCGTCGGACTCATAAATGTCGGTTCACTTTTCAAACTGTTGCCATAAAATGTTAGAGTCCTGCATATATTTGAAGAAATTAAATAATGAAAATCTGCGTAAATGTATGTATATTTCTCGTATTGTGATAAAAAAACGGTACATAGAGTCATCGAATTTTGAACAACGTAATCCTCCAACGAATATGAGTATGTGGAAGACCAAATTTGAAATTTAAAATTTGTTTTATGATCGATTTCCTATTTTTTAAAAACTTTGACGAATTTTTGATTAACAAACTCAAGGATTTCAAAGCGAGCAATGGCAACGTTGTGCAGAAAAAACATTTTTATCTCCAGCGCGTGAGTCTCTGTATCGGAAATTCTAAAGATATGCTCGTTTTAAAACTATTTTGCGATATTGCTGTTGAACTGGATCTTATAGTTTAAGTGCGAGGAACATGATATTTAATAAAAAAAGGTAACACACAAAATGTTAAAAAACGCCCCTTTGGACGTAATTTAAAATCTGAAACATTTCAGATTTTTTTTTTAAACAACAATATCAGCACAATACAGAATTGAAATACAAGATATAACATAATAACATACACTGAGGAAGAGGGAAGGAACAAAAATATTTTTATCTATATAGAGAAACAAATTATTTAATCAGCCAGGAGTACGACTTAATGCGTCTACATTTTTATGGTTTTTACCACTTCAATGAACAACTGTATAATTGTAGGGTTGTAGTACCTAGTGCCCATCTCATAAGTCGTGGATTTGGACTCGCATTATTTTTTAGCCAAACTAGGGTATTATGATCGGTCATGATGAGGAATTTAGTATGCCTGTCTAAATAATATTGAAGTTTCTTTACAGCAAATATTATGGCGGTGCATTTCTTTTCTGTGGTAGAGTACTTTAAGGAATCTTCAGTTTCTGTAAACTGCTTACTGAGGTATAATACTGAATGTTCTTATTGTCTAGTTCATCGTTTTGAGCTAAAATGACACCCATACCAGAGTTTGTCTGGCGAACGCCAAGTATTAAGTTGTGGGCTTTTTGCCAAGCGAGAGAGAGGAAGCAGTGAGTCGAAGCAAGCCGCTTACCTTAGAAGTTTTACGCAGTTGCTGGTTGCCTTCCAGGCCAAGGTTTTAATCCTCTTCATAAATTTTAAACGATTGTAGTGTTCAGTTCTCTGTCTACAACGGCTTCTGTTAATATAAGTCCAATCTCCACGTTTATTTTTTAAGTTAAATTAGAGTTTAGTTCTATTTTTTATTTTTACGTTAGACCCCCAAGTAGCGGGTCTGTGTATTCCGAAGTACGGAAGTTATTGTAAATAGAGAAAAATAAAGGGTTTTGTATACCCTTCTTGTGTATCCTGTCTACTTCCCACAGTTTTTGAACATAGCTTTAGTAAGCTCTCTGTCCGATCAGGTCCTTGCATGTTCCCGAAGAAGTAAGACGGAACATTGATCCTGATAGTGGCGCCCAACGAAGAAGAATAACCATGCCGAGTTTCAAGAAGAACCTGTGCTGCCTGCAGAAAGCGGCTCAGAATCCAGAAATGCCAGCTGCCGCCCTGGAAGGATTTGGTTACATCGTCCAGACCATGCGCGCTTCGATGAAACCAGAAGCAACATTTAATGGAAACTCACCGGTAACCAGTTTTTTGAAAAATTTGGATGACCACTTCATGCTTTACCCCGTGCACGAATTTCAAAAAGTTACCTTAGCTACCAGCGCTTTGAGGGGCCAAGCGCTTAACTGGTTCAAATGTATAGGCAG